ACAAAACCAAAACGACGATTTTCTTGAAGTATTTTTTGTCAGCAACAAAATGCTCCCCCTGCGTCCTACCTCTCTTTCGGCCGCTCCGAACCTAAAAGTCACCTGCGATCTACAAATTGTCTTGTAGTGGACCCTGGACAGACTGAAGCATACCTCAGCCTGAAATAGGACCCTCACAAGTGGCGCCCGAGCAGGGACTTTTTGGTGACTTTAAGGAGACTAACACCTTAATACGGAGCTTTGTGGAGTAAAGACCCACGGCCACTGAAAGAGACTAGGCTAGCAAGGATCAATAACCGTCAAGCACAAAACGCAAAATCCGGTCGCAAGCAGAAATACCACCAACAACACGTAAGTCAGTGCTACTAACCACAGAAACACACCATGGAAGCCCACGGAGCCGATCAACCCGACGAATTTTGCCCGGAGGGACACCATACCAATCCAGGAGTCACCACCGGCTGGATCTACAAACTCCGGCGGGATGAGCTGGAAGTCCTGGCCGAGGAATTCGGATTCGGAAACGACGGAACAGTCGAGGAACGAAGAAAGATATTCGCCGCACTAGTCGCCGGAACACTCTCGCAGGATGCCTGGGTTCGACTGGCCGACCTCGAACGGCAATACGCCAGACCAGCAGGACGCTCCAAGTCGCCCATGCCCACCACTCCTGGGCCGTCTGACCAGCGGGAAACCGACCCAAAAGCCGGGTTACAAGTCCCCACCGCGGCCGAATACAGCACACCCTGCCCACCACGCATCGTAACGCCCGCCGATTTGCCCAGACCTCCAGTTACGGAGACCAGTCGCTCGCCCACACAGAGGATCGTGCCAGCCATGGACCCTTCCATAGATGGACGACACCACAGCCACACCGCCCACATCGCGGAACAGATTCGGAAATGGGGAATCAGGTTCGACGGACAGGACGATCCACTCGCGTTTCTGGAACTACTCGAGGAACGTGCTCTCTCATATGGGGTGGACACAAATCAGCTACCTCGGGCCATGACAGAGCTTCTCACCGATCGGGCCAGTCGCTGGTACCGCACCAGCCAACTACAAGGCAGCTCATGGGCATATTTCCGCCAAGAATTCTTGACTTTCTTCTTGCCGCCACGGTATTTTGAACAATTGGAAGACCAGATCCGAGCCCGCAAGCAAGCGGTAGGAGAATTGTTCAAGGATTACCTCATCGAGATACGGCTACTCATGCACCACGCCAGGTACGACGCAGCCAAGGAACTGAACAGGATCTACGATAACGCCCTGCCAGCATACCAGATGTACGTGCGGCGACACGAACTACAAAGCTTAGCACAGCTCACAATGTTGGCCACCGAGTTCGAGAGCATCCCGACCACTTTCGCACCCCCGCGGAACACTCCAAGATACGCAAGGCCGGCTTCAGAGCAGAGGAATTGCGACTCGCACCAGCCGCCATTTCTGAGTCCCCATTGGGAATCGACAGACTCACCAGGGAGACCACCAGCTCATCCAAACAGTACGGCGAATCCCGAAGTAGCCCATCACATGATCACGACCCCCATCATCAACCCACGCGCAGCCTGTCGCCGGTGTGGTGAAGCGGGGCATGCGGCATACGACTGCCATAATCCCTCCATCCTATTCTGCTGGGAATGTGGCAAACGCGGCACACGGACCGTAAATTGCTGCCGCCAAAACACGTCGGGAAACGACATGCGTCCCCAACTGACACGGGATCAGCCGGGAACGACGCCTCCTCCAACCCGCGACTAAATAACTCTCTACACGTAAGCAACGGCCGGATAGTGGCGATGATAACCATAGGAGGACACGCAACGGAAGCCACAATCGACACCGGGGCATCCAGAAGCTTCATCAGCGCAAACCTCGCCCGACAACTAGACAACAACACCAACCTGCAAGATGCATGCGTCCGCATACGCCTGGCCGATGGCTCGGTCTCAGAGATCTCACAAGTTCTACTGGCGCACATCAAGCTGGATCAACGAGAGGTTCAAATCCCGCTCCTGGTCCTTCCAAACATGTTGGGACAAGTCATTGTCGGCATGGACTTCCTAGGTGCCACCGAAACGACGATCCAATGCGGCTCCACGCTGCTACAGCTACGAGACTGTCACCCCATGCCCACTGAACCCGTGCTTACTACCATCCACGTACAAGACGCCGAACCCCGATACCAGAAACCCCAACAAATCGCAACGAACCTACGTCCACGACCTACCACAACGCACACGGCACCCAATAACGCAACGCAGCACTCGACACCCAATCCAATCGCAACGAATCCGAAGCAACGGCACACTACGGAGAACACGAATCCAAGGTCAACACCAGCAAACCGCAACCAAGCAATCGGGAAAACGAGTCCCACGGTCTCTACGGAGCAACTGCGTCCTAGGCCAACCACAGGGAACACGCATCCCAAACAAACCACGAGGATCTCACACACGAGACAAACACACTTGAACCCGGCGCTCGACACAGGAAGCCCAGATCGAAGACAAGCAACAGAGCAAGCACGCACAGAATCCACAACGGAAGAATTGAACGCACGGACACCCTCAAAACCGACCATCAGCATCGAAAAAGGACAACGGCAACCACCATCCGACAGCCCAGCAACACGGGAAACAGCCACGCTAACCCCACGCTGGTCGGGGCCCATAATTGAACTGATATCCACAGAGCCCCTCAACGCGGGCCCGGAACCCAGGACGATACCCCCACGATGCACCGACCGCCGCCCTGTCGTACCCACGGCCGACGCCACACCGATCCTCGCCAACACAATAGAGTACCTTCCGCGTACTGACATGATTCTTAGCGCCATGCAGCGAGCCATGCCTAGAGCCTTGTCCGAGATCTTCGTCGCCCACACAAGTCGTTGCTGCGATACCAGAGGGGTCATCGCGACTCACCTGTTTACGTACCAGTCTGGCTGTAGTATAACACGAGTACTACACCCGGCGTACCAACACATCATACCCATGGTCGACACCACACCCATCGTCGCCCACATAAGCGACTACCAACGGAGGATCGAAACGCCCAGCGCCTTCGACACAACCCTCTCACCCGAAGACCCCAGCCAGCCATTTGACTCCGAAGCCGCCGATCCAACCGAACATGAGCCCGAACCAGTCCCGGAGCCGTGGCCGCTGGACTTGGCCCCGCAGATCCAAGCATTTACATTCGACAGACCCATCCTACCGAAAGACCCGAATCAAACGTTTGACCCTGGAGCCACCGAACCTACCGAAGACGACCCAGAACTACCGACGGATCCTTGGCCACCCGACATAGCACCGCCCATTCAAGAATGCCTGGACAAAGAACTACCAAAGAAAACTGCCGAGAAAACCATCGTCATATGGGTAATCGACCCACCAAGCAGACACCAACTACAAAGCACCCAGAACAGCAGAAAGGCCACGATCACCGCAGCAGTAGAAAATATAACGTTACCGACGCCACGCTAAAGTGACTAGATTGACACCGACGAATCCAAAGACTCGGCACAAGCCAAAGGACAGGAAAAAGGCGAACCTAAGCACCCGCCAAGCAACGCCACTAATCTCTCCATCACCCACCCGGAAGAAAGGGGGGGGTGTAACGAACCATGGTTCTAGCCATGGCTCGTCACAAACGGCGAAGGGTCGGCGCATCCACGCTGGCGGGAGACAGTAATCTAACTGATATACACAGAGCTAGCGAACCATGGCTCTAGCCACGGTTCTCCACAAATAGCGGTGTGTCAGCACCCCGGAAATAAAATAGTCTTAAGCACACAATTAATTAAGAACTCTCGATCAACAACACCCCACCTCTTGTGACAATTGTGAAATCAGCAGCCTACAATGTCGCAATAAGCCAAGCCGACACAATTTCGCAATAAAAGATATCATTGGCGTTATTTCACAATAAGTCAAGCTAGCATAAAAGTATCGAAACATCGACCCAAATTCAGATATCACCTCCGCGATGCAGAGTTAGCAAAAACTCATTTCTTTTGAAACCAAATACCCAATTCCCAACTGCACCTTCCGGGATGCAGCATCAGAAAAACCACCCTGACTCACTAAAAATTGTCAACGAAGCACCAAGCTTCGGCCTAGTTACCACACCTGTAGCAGTACTATCCCCTAATACCACTGTACATACATTTAATACTAGCCATTAAGCCCACTGTAATCGTGTTCTCAGCACCAACACATATAGAGACACTCTCAATGTAAAGAGAGCGCAAAGAATACGAAGGAGAAAAGGAGAAGAATAAAATGAGAGCGAGATCAGTTTTGGATCGAGCAGAGACGAGAAAGCACGCGTTGTGAATTGCTGCCCAGACTACAATTTCAGAAGTGGGATGAAGCCCACTAAAGTTAGAACTCCCACTCAATTAAAAGCTACTGACTAAAACAATAAAAATGGATAATCTCGACATCAACAACTATACACTTATCGGATTGAAGACTTGGTGTGCTCGATAAATAAAAAAATAAAATAAACGCCGATTGAAGCAATAGTGCAGACTACAAAAAAGATGTCGTTGGTATTCGAAAAAGACAACAAAGAAGAAATCGGAACATTAATAGAAGTTGGCAGCTCCAGCCCCACTCCGATAAATAGTAATTTTGCAACACTAGAACAAACCATCGAAAACCTGCAACACGAAAACGAACAGCTGCGCAAAAAATCAGCTGTCCCATTTAATGTAATAAAAGAATGCGTTCCTGAGTTCAATGGCGAAGGTGATATTGATGTTTGGCTAACCTGCATAAAAAATGTTCAAGCCATTTTCAAAGTTGAAGATGACATTATGCGCTCACTCATTTGCGCACGCATTAAAGGCAAAGCCAGTGCTTGGTTCTTCGCAAACTACTCGCCTCTCTCCTCGGGCATTGATCAAATTCTACATCAACTTCGTGTCATGTTTGGAAACAAGGACAACATTCTGGAAACTCGTCGCAAGTTTGAACAGTTCGTGGTTCGTGGTGTACTATCACGAAAAGTTGCTACTTGCCAAAGATCTAAATATGAACGACGCTGAGACCATACAATACTTGATTGATGGAATCCCGGATCAACAGTTACGCAATCAAGCATTGCTTCAATGTTTTGTCTCGACAGAGGCTATGCTTATGGCATTCCAGCACCTGAACAGACCTCGTCCACCACCCACCAAGATGCGTCCTTCCTTGGCTGACGTTAAGAACTACACAGGACCCAAGTCAGATGTAAGCCAACCAGGGACCACAACTACATCGTCACAGGCCATGAAATGTTGCAATTGCCATAGCTTGGGCCATTCCGCAGCCGAATGCCGCAAGCCTGTACGCCCAGATGGAGCTTGCTATGCCTGTGGTGAATACGGGCATGTGGCCAGAGACTGCAAGCTGTATAAGAAGAACATCAAAGAAACTAAAAACGATTACGTAAGATATTATAATATAAGATTTCCTCATTTTTCTGACAAAGTATATTACATAGAGTGCCTTCTAGACTCGGGAAGTCCGATCTCATTTGTTAAACAATCAATAGTTCCTGAAGGACTTAAAATTCGTAACACTGAAGACCATGAAGATTATGTTGGAATAAATAATAGTAAATTAGTCATTTTTGGAAAAATATTTTGTAACATTATAACTTCAAATAAAACTGTTAATATTGAAACAATGGTCGTGAACAATGAGTCTACAAGGTACAATATGGTACTAGGTAGAGATTTCTTAGAGCTATGCAATTTACAATTAATTTCAGTGAACGATACTAAGACCAGATTGATCGATGTAAAATGGTATGATAACTATGAACAGCCTGTAAGGGTAGGCATCACAGAAACAACAAAGAGTATAAGACAACGTAAAGTCTCAACAGAAGAGTCAAAAGTAGAGCCAAAAGTAGAGTCAATAGTAGCGGAAGTAGTAGAGCCAAAAGTAGAGTCAATAGTAGCGGAAATAGTGGGGCCAAAAGAAAAAATCAACGTAGCGAGCTATCACAAAGTTAAGTCAAACAATAAAATTAATATTACAAATTCAAAGCCAGAAGTAGTGAAATCGAATCCTTTTAAAAACAATGTACATATACAAGGCAAAGAAAACATAGACGTCAACGTAGAAGGCGAGCCAAACGATTTTGATAAAGAAATGTTAGCCATCAATGTTGTGCAAGAAGGCAACGCTACTTTCAAGGTGGGGGAAGAAATTAATTATAAAGTAAGAGAACAATTCAAACGTATCTTCGAAGAACAATATTTGCTAGCCAATAGATCACTAGAACCCAAAGTAAAAACTGTAATGAAAATCACGGTAGAGAGTGATAAACCATTCAATTGTCCACCACGGAGATTATCATACATGGAAAAAACAGAAGTACAAAAAATTCTAGATGAAAACCTAGAATTAGGTTATATACGTCCCAGCGAATCAGAGTTCGTATCACCAATAGTTCTAATTAAAAAGAAGACTGGTGAGCTAAGATTATGTGTAGATTATCGTAGGCTGAACAAAGTAACTATAAAAGACAACTATCCAATCCCCCTGATAGATGATCTGTTAGAAAGGTTAGCGAACAAGAAGTTATTTTCCAAACTAGATCTAAAAAATGGATTTCATCATGTATTCATGCATGAGGATTCTATCAAATACACCTCGTTTACAACGCCTTTAGGACAATTTGAATACACAAGAATGCCATTTGGGCTAAAGAATGCATCTCCTACGTTTCAAAGATACATAAATAAAATTTTTTCTGATATGGTCAAAGATGGTAGAGTAATCATTTATTTAGATGACATAATGATTGCTTCAGAAGATATCAACACCCACTTTAAGATACTTAAAGAAGTTTTTAAAAGAGTAGTAGACAACAGTTTAAATCTTCGACTTGATAAATGCGAATTTTTGCAATCGTCTGTAAACTATCTAGGCTATACAGTAACAGGAAATGGCATATGTGCAAATGAGACGGGCATAGACGCCATAAATAGTTTCCCGGTACCCAAAAAAGTGCACGAAATTCAAAGCTTCATTGGTCTATGTTCTTACTTTAGGAGGTTCATCAAAGATTTCGCATTAATAGCAAAGCCATTATATGATGCAACAAGAAAGGATAAAAAATTTGAGTTTGGAGAAGTAGAGATAGAAGCATTTCAAGCGCTAAAAAATAAGCTGATAGAAACTCCGATTTTAGCAATTTATAATCCACACGACGAAACCGAGCTGCACTGTGATGCAAGCTCTTTAGGTTATGGAGCCATTCTTCTTCAAAGAAAGAATGATAGTAAATTCCATCCAATATTTTACTTCTCCAAGAGAACTACAGATGTCGAGTCGAGATATGATAGCTTCGAGCTAGAAACATTAGCGATCATAAACGCACTCAAAAGATTTCGTGTCTATCTACAAGGTATTAAATTCAAAATAGTGACCGACTGTAATTCATTAACATTAACGTTAAATAAAAAAGAGCTAAACCCTCGTATAGCGAGATGGGCACTCGAATTGCAAAATTATGATTTTGATCTCGAACACAGTTCTGGAAAAAGGATGCAGCATGTAGATGCACTCAGTCGTAACAATAATATTTTAATATTAGAAACAAATACTTTCGAAGATAATTTAATAATATCACAAAGTAGAGATGAAAAGTTAAGAAAAGTCAAAGACATGTTATTAGAAAGGGAAAATGAATATTATGAAATGCGCAACGGTGTAATTTATAAAAAGCACAACGAAGGACTCTTATTTTGTGTACCAGAGTCAATGATCGAAAGTGTTTTATACAAGTATCACGATGAAATGGGACATGTAGGTGTTGACAAAGTAACAGATTTAATAAACAAAAGCTATTGGTTTCCGCAAATAAGAAAAAAAGTCGATGTACATATCAAGAATTGTGTGAAGTGTATACACAAAAAAAAAGAAGGATATCTACACTCAATACCCAAAGGTACAACGCCGTTCAATGTCATCCACATTGACCACTATGGTCCCATCAAGAGTAGTGAATCTAAGAAAAAGCACATACTATTGGTTATAGATGCCTGCACAAAATTCATAAGGCTTTATCCTACAAAAACAACAAGTTCAAAAGAAGCAATAGATGCTTTGCAAAATTATTTTAAAGCGTACAGTCGCCCTAAGCACCTAGTTTCCGACAGAGGCTCTTGCTTCACCTCCCACGAATTTCAATCATTCATAGAATCACAGAACATCAATCACATAAAAATAGCAACAGGGTCTCCGCAAGCTAACGGGCAAGTGGAAAGAATTAATAGAGATTTAGGACCAATGATTGCCAAGATTCGAGACGTAGAAAAAAATGAGCAATGGCATAAAGTTTTGGACAAAGTGGAGTTTGCAATGAATAACACAAAAAATAGAAGCATAGACGAATACCCGAGCGTAATGCTCTTTGGTGTATTACAAAAGGGCAATAGTATAGATAGTTTAAAAGAAAACATAGTCGAAGAAAATCAAAGTAGCGACCAAAGAGACTTAGAGTATACAAGATGCAAAGCAGCAATAGTTCAACAGAAAGTTCAAGAGTACAATAAAAGTTACGTTGATACAAAGCGACAGAGACCCAGACTATATTCTATTGATGATTATATTATGATTAGAAATTTCAACTCACAACCAGGAACGTCCAGTAAACTAGCTCCAAAGTTCAAGGGACCGTATAGAATTTCAAAAGTTTTAGATAACGATAGGTATGTTGTGCAAGATATAGAAGGATTCCAACAAACTCAAATCCCCTATTCAGGAATATGGGCTGTCCACAATATTAAACCATGGGTTTATGATCAAAATGTAAACAAAGAGTTAAATGATGAAGAAAATGTAAACAATGAGTTAAATTATGAAGAAAATGTAAATAATGAATTAAATGATGAAGAAAATGTAAATAATGAATTAGATGATGAAGAAAATGTAAATAATGAATTAGATGATGAAGAAAATGTAAATAATGAATTAGATGATGAAGAAAATGTAAATAATGAATTAGATGATGAAGAAAATGTAAATAATGAATTAGATGATGATGTAAATGTAAATGTAAATATAAAGATGTAAATAATGAACAAAATGTAAATACTAAATTAGAAAATGAAAATGTAAATGAACACGAAAGCAATTTAAATAAGAATGAAGAGGATGTAACTGATTCAAGGAATAAGATCATAGCAAGCGAAATGCAAAGAAAAAATGTAAGAAAGAAAAATGTTAGAAAAATGGCTGAGAGCAGCATAATAACAAGAAACATGGCAAAGAGAATCAGGAGATCCTCACTGTCAGGATAGGCCGAATTGTAGCAGTACTATCCCCTAATACCACTGTACATACATTTAATACTAGCCATTAAGCCCACTGTAATCGTGTTCTCAGCACCAACACATATAGAGACACTCTCAATGTAAAGAGAGCGCAAAGAATACGAAGGAGAAAAGGAGAAGAATAAAATGAGAGCGAGATCAGTTTTGGATCGAGCAGAGACGAGAAAGCACGCGTTGTGAATTGCTGCCCAGACTACACACCCTACAATTATTATTACCCAATAACCTTAAGTCAGCAAGAATCAATTATTTCCGGGTCTCAGGTGCGATCGCCAGCTGCATAAAAGGGCCAAGATCGGCTGAAAGAGTAGGCAGTCCATCAGCCCGAATACAAGATACAGGCAGTCCATCAGCCCGAATACAAGATATAGGCAGTCCATCAGCCCGAACACCCAAGACACTGCACAAGGCAGTCCATCAGCCCGAATACAAGATACAGGCAGTCCATTAGCCCAAACACAAGACACTGCACAAGGCAGTCCCTCAGTCACACACCCAAGACACTGTACTACGCAGTCCCTCAGTCACACACCCAAGACACTGTACTACGCAGTCCCTCAGTCACAAACACAAGACACTGCACAAGGCAGTCCCTCAGTCACACACCCAAGACACTGTACTACGCAGTCCCTCAGTCACACACCCAAGACACTGCACAAGGCAGTCCCTCAGTCACACACCCAAGACACTGTACTACACAGTCCCTCAGTCACACACCCAAGACACTGTACTACGCAGTCCCTCAGTCACACACCCAAGATACTGCACTAGGCAGTCCCTCAGCCAAAACACAAGACACTGCACCACCCCCAGTCCAACGGCTCAAAGGCAAGGTAACAAGATCCGCAAGTAATCCATCGTACACAAACCCACAAAGAATTAAGTAATAAAATAATAAACACCAACAAAACCAAAACGACGATTTTCTTGAAGTATTTTTTGTCAGCAACAAAACGCTCCCCCTGCGTCCTACCTCTCTTTCGGCCGCTCCGAACCTAAAAGTCACCTGCGATCTACAAATTGTCTTGTAGTGGACCCTGGACAGACTGAAGCATACCTCAGCCTGAAATAGGACCCTCACACGGGTCACACCGACATAGCGGGCAACGAGAGTGCGGACGAGTGTGCCAGAACTGGATCGGCCAAGCCAATGGCGGACGCAGTCAGCGACATAAGGAGACCACTACGAGACATCATCTCGCAGATGATGGGCCGAGCCAGAACGAGATCGGACAGGAGGTGGAACACCACACCAAACTGTGAGATCTCTCGCTCGCTCTGGCCCCACTACGACCTTAAACGCACCAAGACTCTCCTTAACTTCAGGAAGAGTCGGGTGCGAACACTGACGGGAGTTATAACGGGGCACTGTGTCATCGGCCGCATGGCCACAAGGTACAGACTGCCCCACCATGACTTCTGCCGCAGCTGCATGGACGAGGAGGAAATAGAGAGCATCCAGCACCTTCTCTGCAACTGTCCTGCACTCATGGGGAGGCGTCACCGAATACTCGGTGGCGCCTTCTACGAAGATCTGGACAGCCTGGCAAACATGCCTCTAGAGAAACAGGTGCTCTTTATAGAG